AAACACACACGTTAATACACACACGCATTAATATACACACACGCATTAATAAACACACGCACATTAATAAACACACGCACATTAATAAACAAACACACACGCGCATTAATAAATACACACACAGAAGTGATTTCCCCTAAAACAAACTTCAACTGGGTTTGTAAAACATCGGGGAGTTGAAGATGGCACAAGAAACGTGTGGGTCGCCCTACCGCTCCCCTCTCTCTCTCTCGTTGTTTGGACTCTGGCTAAATTAGACGCCACGGGTTCACGGACCGCTCGAGTCCACCGGGTTTCTCCGACTGCCGCCGTCTTGCCGGGTCGCGATTCGAGAGATTTTACTCACGGAGTTGTGGGGGGGAGCTGTGTGTGAATGAACGATGAAGCTGGCCAAATAGGATGTAAGGGAGGGAATAAGCCCTGCTGTAGAGACTTAACCACCTACCCACCCCATCGCACACTAGACCTGTGGGAGCCACGCATCCCGTTGCGTTGAGCAGAGGCTCGTTTGAGCATCAGGTACGACCGGGAGAAAGGCTCGGTAATTGGCTACGCCTTGCAATTGTGAATTTTGCAATTGCCACTTGTGTGTGCTGTGCGTATGTTGAACGTCTTTCGCACTGTACGTAGCCAAGCGTGCTTATCGGATGTGCACTACTTATCCCTTCTTTTGTGTAATTTTCACGATTGTAATTTTTTTTATCGGATGTTCCCTTTGTTTTGTTCGGAGTTCGTACGTGCCATTGTTTCATTTATCCGTTGTTATTTTCTGTCGCTGGTGACTCCAGCTTGCATTATAGCGGGGGGGGGGGGGGGGGGCTGAACCACCGTTACAAAAAAAATGGTCTTCATATCTCATCGGGTTCACACCGCTTAAATCAAATGTCAACGCCTCTCAAATGGCAGACGATAAACCGCGCACGTAAAAAAAATATATATATATAAAAATGCTGTTGTTAACCTGAATACATTACGCCATTATGGCCTCTACTCGTCCCAATTACAACACAAAAAGGATGGCTCCCAATGTATTTGTACTTTTATGAACATTTCACGACGGCCGCGCTCCACTCCTTCATAAACCACCCGGCCACAACGCGAAGCTCGCCTCACTCGTGACTGACAAATGCTCCCCCCCCTCCCCCTCCCAAGTGAAACAGGTGACAGCTACACCGCCCACAAGTTGAACAGTGCCGGCAATCAGGGAAGCGGACCATTTTTTATGCACGCGCACACGCACACAAAGGCAAAGATCCCCCGTGTAGCCTCCATAGACCGTTGGGGCAAGTGCGGTTAGCGAGCAGCACCGATGAAGGATGCAACGGCACACGAGCGGGCGGGTGGCCTGCAGCACCACGCCCGACCGCCTTTGTCTCCCCAGTGGCGATGTTTACACACCGCAGCAGGTACTCATTTGAGGCCGAGTCGACCTATGGGAGGTCCATGACCGGTTCAGATAATCGTCACCTGGTGTTGGTGGCCGTGAGCGGGAATCGAACTCGGGTCGCCGGGTTTGCAGATCAGCGCGCCGACAAGTATACGACCACTCCCCACACATATACTAAAGATACAAAGACAAAGATCCCCTGTATAGTCTTAACAGACTGTAGTTGCAAGTGCCGTTAGCGAGCACCTATAAAGGCCGGCACGGCACACGAGGGGGTGGGTGGCCAACATCACCACGCCCGGCCGCCTTTGTCTCCCCAGTGGCGATGTTTACACATCGCACCAGGTACTCATTTGAGGCTGAGTCGACCTAGGGGAGGCCCAGGACCGGTTCAGATAATCGTCACCGGTGTTGACCGTGAGCGGGAACCCGGCTCACCAGGTTCGTAGCGCAGCGCGCTAAGCGCTACACTACCGCTCCCCGCACATATACGCACACACACACCTCTCTATCATCTCCCCACGCCCACACCCACGCAATTTACTCGAGGAATAAGATTAGCGGGTCGTGAAAATTGGTTGGGGAAGAATGTTAATTGAACGGTGAAGGTTAGAGACTGGCACGGGCGTGAGGGCAACATTCTGCAATTACCGCACGAGGGACACCCAGCACCGTTCTCACTTACGACCACGACATCTCTCTCTCGACTCAGTGAGAAGTTGTAATTAGCACTTCACAGCGTCGGCTCCCAACACCGGGGGAGGAGGGGGGGGCTGTTGCCCCCGCCCCCTCACCCCCACCTCGGTGGCCGGGTTCTGCTCCAGCCAGCTGCACTGTGGGTGTCCAGACACCAAACACCCGCAGGATATTAACTAATATTTCTTAAGAGCCTTCCACAACAGTTTGCACCCCTGGTCGGCACGACACATTCACACGTTCGCAAACGCACATACATTCATACGGACGGTGCATCCACAGCCAACAACAACAACAACCGCCATTGTGCCAGGCTAGGTGCACCTTGAGGCCACGTAAAGTGTCGAAGGATCATTGGCAGGAGGCCACGGAACAAACTCAGGTGCCATCGGTTGACTGACTGAGATGACTGGCAGATGCATCAACTGTGCTCCACACTGTGCCAACTTGCTGCGTATTATCCTCCCGTATCTCCGCTCGTTGTTGTGAGCGTCGCTCCTCTTGCCCTCCGTTGTTATTGGAGGGCGACTGCCTCCAACTGCCCAGTACCGCCCTTCACGTACCTTATCCACAGAGGCCGATCCTCACACCGATGGCATATATATATATAAAATGTATTTGTAACTTATTTCGAACTCAGCTCCACATCCTCCTGGACCTCATGAGTCCATCTCTTCTTCTACCCCGTGCTGCACCCAATGAACCCCCTCTATCCGGTCAAACAGAATCTGCTTGGGCATGCAGTGGCTGGGCATGCGGGCTACATGACCCAGCAGACCCAGCCGACCCAGCCAACGCAGCCTCACCTGTCGGAAGAGCTTACTGTAATACAGTCTGATTAAACCCAGGATGGATCGTAGGCAGACCAGCCTGGATCTTTTAAACCAGCGTAGATGTTCCTTTAAAGGGTTCCACATTTCGCAATGATTGAGAAGGGAGGGCGCAACTGTGACCGAGACGACCTCGAGCTTCGGATGGAAAGATAGACCAGGTAACGTCCACAGTGTTACGCAGCTGATGAAAAGATAATGCCGCTCAACTGATTCGAAGTCAGACCTACGCTGCCAAACCGGAGCTGTTCATAAGTGTATACACACACACTGCACACTCACGATAACCTAGGTCATAAGAGTTTTATTTCCTGGCTGCACCCCTAGTTACAGCTGACGCTTCATATATCAATGAGCAGTGGAATTGGTGTTGGCGCGGTGCTTTTAATGAGCCCACGTGAGCCAAGCCTGGCTGATCCTGTCACAAGGGAGCCCAGACTGTGGCTCTCACACTCACATCTCAACCAGCACTGCCACACCTTTAAGGTGGCAAAGGCGCAGTCCTGCAATTTACGAGCTCACGCTACCGCTGGCGGAAGAACCTCCACTCGACAGAGCTCGAGAGAGAGAGAGCATTTGGCCAATTCTTCCAGGCTGGCCAAATGGCTTGGAAGAGGTGGGAAATGCCCACACTTTGGCCCACTTCACGTGACATGCCAATCAAAGACTAACATCGTTGCACCGTTGGGCCAACGTTGGAACATGGTAGGCTCAACTTTGGCCCAACGTTGCGTGTTTACTGGGTACCAAGTGAACGTGGAATGTTGGGCAATCGCTGGCATGTCATTGAACTAACGTTGGCCAAACATGGGCCCAATGTTCCACGTGCACGCGAGGCACCCAGTAACCATGCGACGTTCGCTCAACGTTGCCGTGTGGTTGGACCATCATTGGCCCAACGTTCCATGTTCACTGGGTAGTGCTATCCTCTCTCTCAGAGGGTCGGTGGCATGTCGGGCCTTGCTCGACCTCTCTCTGTCCGCTGCCAGCCTCGCCGTGTTATTAAACTCTTTCCCGTTCTGAGACGTCTGCAAGTTGCAGGGTGGGGGCCCCGTTCTTTCGCAACGTACGTAGCCAACCGTGATAATTAGAGGGAATGAAAATTAGGTGGAGGGGTTGGGCGAGGAGAGGGGCAGGGGTGGGGTACGAAGAGGGAAGACGAATGTGGAGATGGCTACAGAGGGATGCACCTGGTCAACATGTAAGCGTTGGGCCAACGTCAACGAACGTTGGACAAAGTCGAAAGTTTATCGGGCATATTCCCGCAGGCTCACGGCCGAGCGCTGCTCTGCAAACAGAGACACGAATTACGCGCAAGAACGTGTTAACAGCATGCCGCCTCTGTGCCGTAGGAAAATCCATCAGCAGTTCCTGAAGACGTGCATTGTGGTCATTTGAGAGCGGACTCCGCCGCTTTGGAGCTCCACCAATGATTAGGCAAGTCGATGGCAGATGCTGGCTCAAGGCCACGGTCATATTATTTAGAAAAAAAAGTGCCGCTTTTTTTAACTTACACCGAATTGGACGTTGCAATCGTTGGTTTCACCATCGCCGCCACCGCCAGCAACGTCACCATGGTGAGAATTTGCGAGCGGAGCAATGGCCACGCGCTGGCGTGTTCACGCGCGCGCACAAACACCCGCGTGTTCACGCGCGCGCACAAACACCCGCGTGTTCACGCGCGCGCACAAACACCCGCGTGTTCACGCGCGCGCACAAACACCCGCGTGTTCACGCGCGCGCACAAACACCCGCGTGTTCACGCGCGCGCACAAACACCCGCGTGTTCACGCGCGCGCACAAACACCCGCGTGTTCACGCGCGCGCACAAACACCCGCGTGTTCACGCGCGCGCACAAACACCCGCGTGTTCACGCGCGCGCACAAACACCCGCGTGTTCACGCGCGCGCACAAACACCCGCGTGTTCACGCGCGCGCACCGGCACGCGAAACGCGCTCTCGCTCGCTCGCCTGTTTACAACGTTTACATCGTCCCCAGAGAATTCACACGGCGCTCTCCAACATTGGCAAAGCAGCTGCAACACGGGCGCTAATGATTGCAAGCAGCACCGGGCGAAGTTAATTGACTCGAAGCTGCAGCACAGCTGGGTTTGTTAAAAACGACATCGCATCGGGAACGCGGGCAATGAGCCCCCTCCGCGCGCCTCGGATCGGCACGGTTGGCTTATGTACGTGTGCGAAAGAAGTTCAACATCCGTGTTCACGTACGTACGTTTGCCTATCGGTCGCCAGTTGAAACGTCGCAGCGGATAGCAACGCAAGAACGCATCGAGGAGCACCGCAGAGGGCAGAGTTGGGGGAGGCGATGGGGGGTGAGAGGGGAAAGAGAACGCGCGCTGGAAGGGGATACGGGAGATGGTGTGGATGTGACGAGAGAATGAGATACGGGGGGAACTAAGGCCTTCTCTCTAAGATCCCAGTTAACATTCAATAAAAAGAAAGTTGCTTTTTTCTCCTTATCTGTCCCCAGTCTGGAACTCTCTTCGGCCAGACATCCGTGATGTCGGATATGAGAGGGCGGTGATGATGAGAGGGGGATACAAGGAACGCTGTTCCTTCCAATATTAGGAAGCCACTGGAGCTATGCACTTTTAAATCTAGATTGAAAACTAATTTATCGAGCAATACTTTGTTGGTGTTTAGTTAGTGGTCCTTCCCCCGCACCTCCGATTAGCACGGTTTGCTGCGTACGGTGCAAAAGAAGTTCAACAAACAAGCAGCGAGTAGAGAGGTGAGCTGCACGGGGAAGCGTCTGTTTTCATGGGGGGTGGGGAGAGGGGGAGGGATTCAGAATGGGGGTGGCCACAGCCAATTCACGTGATTTACGGGAGTCTCAAGCCGATCGAGATGATGTGTTTGTACAGACGATAGACCAAGCGAAGGGAGGGCACCAAGGGCGATTTGTGCCGGCCCCATGTTGTGCTCTCATTCAACCCTGACCTCCATACCTTGGGAGCGTGCGCGTCCACTCGGCTCCACAGCCCGTCCTTGTTTCTCCACTGTCTCGTCTTTGGCTTCCGTATACAGGGTCCCCCGTGGCTGCGAACACATCCCACCCATTACTCATTGGCGACCGTCAGAACTAACACAACGGCCTTTCTTGTGGGTGCTGTAAAGAAATAGAATGAGTCAGTGACACACGGGAGGCCGAAATTATAATATAAAGTAGGCGTGCCATGCCCAAATAAGGTTATCCCCTGCGCATGTGCTTGCCCGAATAAGGAGTTACGGACCTGGAATCGAGAGAATAGCGATTCCAAATCTACGCTAGATCGCATGCAAAAACCCGTAACAGCCATGCCTCCATATGTCACGGACTCGTTCTGTCACGCCATCGTGCCTGACTATTCTACATTGCGAAGTTTCATCATGAGCATCATCTGCCATGAACAATCCATCCGCTGGTTAAATGCCTTCACCACACTGGCACAGAGTGGCCGGATTGCCATGGGCACCATACCCCCCTCAACGTGTGGCCCATGTGCCAGCAATCAGTAGCCTGGAGGTGGCCTAGGGGTGTCCCCCCCACCCCTAACCATCCCAAAAAATAGGGGGGGGGGCGGGTGGTGGTGGGGGCCTTGCGCAAGCGGCAAAATTCCGGATCGCGATCACTCACCAGTCGAGCGGCTGACAGGGCGAGCGGTTCGTGCCCCTGGGGTTGGCGGCAGCCCACGGGTCACCTGCGGAGAGACACAGTTGGGCCCTCTGTTAGGTCGCGCCGGCGTTGTCGGAGAGAGAAGATGCACGCGGGAGATGTCCCTCGTTGTTTAGAAATTAAAAGGCTATGATTTTTTGTAAAATGTAATTTTAACAAAATTAGTGTATTAATAATTCGCGGCCGAGGTGAACGCAAAAAATATATAATCGCCAGCGAAACGTCACTAAGTAATTTAACTTTAAATGTTGTGGGTTTATTCTCCAACACACCGTTTTGTTCACGTGACAAACCTTACTCATTGGCCGTGTCGGGTGGTGGCGGGTTTAACGACACAATTTATATTTACGTGATCTAACCCAACGAAAAAAGTGTATCATGAAAAATATATAATGCACGCAAAGGTCACGGCATGAGATGGGGAAGGTGTCCCAGCTGATAATAATAACAAATATAATTTACTTTAAATTTTGGGGTATTTGATTAAGTATATGTCACATCTGTAACCTAATTCTAAGCCTTTGTTATGCTTGATAATGCGCAGGGCACGTGGAGTGGCATTGTAAATGGAAGTCGTGTGTACACTGTGAAACGTGATGAAGGGAATGCGGAGTTAGTAACGCGTTATGATTCTGGCTTTATTACAAATGTTGGGTCGGCGGTTTATCGTCAGATCATTTGCGCAAATTTATTTTAAGTGCGATCGTTTTAGGTGAGGGAGCAGCGAGAGTTTAAGAACAATGAGTTTGGTCATTTAACGATCCGTGGTGATAGTCACGTTACGTTTAAAACAGCATTTATCATTTTAATGTTTTATTATAAAGCCATTATACAAGCAATATTTTTTGTACGGTCCGAAAATATAATTTGTTGTAGGTTAGGGTTTACACTATTTATTCACAAATGTCTTTTGTGCGTAGCTGCACGGTCGTCCCAACAGCCCACACAGGGCACCGCTCGAATGCTAAATCAATTATGTGCACGATTTACAGTACGGATTTACGTTAAATATCTTATATTTTTCTTGTTTTGTCCATTAATTTACGCGTGACTTGTTGACATTTTCCCCTCCCCCCCCAAAAAAAATTTTAGCCTGGTCGATTGTACGTTAGGCGTCACATCACGTTAAGAAGCATTAATTCACAGCTCTCAGCAGAGCAGTCAAGCCCCCTACGTATGCGAGAACTGCCCACGGAAGTGGACACCACAGAGCTACCTCCGACATCCCTTCCAAGTGACTCCTGGGTTCACACCGAGCAGGAGGCAAGCCACTTGCCACTCGCTCCGACAACACGACAGCGAGGTTTGTCGCACGACATTCGAACCGCGATGCTTTAATTCCCACGGCTGGAATTTCGCCAAATTAAGTGACAAGGGTAATGTTTGGGGTGAGTGGAGTTTTACGATTACCTGGAGGGGAAAGGGGTCGTGGCCGTGGATTAACTGCAGAATTACCTCGAGCTTTTTTTTTGCGAGGGCCTTAAAAACGACGACTGATTGTCCTTCACAGCTGTCGGCCGTACACGCAAGCCGCTGTGTGCGAGCTCAGCTCGTTAGCGCTAGCCAATAGAGACCCATCGTTTCGCTGCTAAAAATCATACACAGAACACATTCGCAGAAGGAGGGAAGCACTTCGCACAAGAGCCGTTAAGTATATTTTAAATATATGTTACTCTAAACCTGGTTATTTTATTGGTGGAGTTAGTCGGGTTGGATTTTTTTCACATGTACGTTATTTTTGTAACAATTCGGAACGGTATTAAACGTATTTGTTGTTGTCATGCTATAATGTACATATGGATAGAGAATGGAATTTAAATATTGAACTTAGGCACATTTATAATGGGTTTTTTTTGTTTGCGATTTAAAATAATAATTCTAGATTTTTTTAACCAAAATTTTAGTCCGTTTAAAATAAGCAGGTTTACAGTAATAGCCAAGTGACCGGGTCACATTTTATTCATTTTTAAAAGTTAATCAACATTTAAACAGGGAAGGGAAAAATAAAACTTTTTTTATCATATATAACATTAACACATTACACTTAATGAAACATTTTAAATAAATAAAAAATATTTGTGTTTTGAGTTATGGTTAAATTCATTTATGAGCTTTTACACTGTTTTATAGAGTTCAAGGGGTCTTTATTTTTTTTCATCAGATTTACACAAAGATTATTGCCATTTACATTGTTTTTCTTTCCTTTTTTTACGAAGTCACACTCGGGTTAAATCATTTAAGGCTTCAGGAAGCCTTCCCAAAGCAGGTCAGCTTGGTCGATTAGTATGATGCAGTGTTACACGGTTTATTTTATGAGATTTATACAAAAAAATCACTTTAGCATGATTTTTTGAAACATCTTAACATTAGACTTGGTACAGAGAGAGAGACTTAATTTAATGCTTTCCATTGGTAAGTTAATACATTTTTATTATTACTATAAATAAAAAACAGAAGATGAATATGCACATTAAGTAAATAAAATTTACATGATTGTGTTTTTATTTTACAAACCAAGTGAAACTGCACTTCTTATAATAATTTAAAAATAATTTAAACCTACTTTTCATATTACAACTTCAAATGCAAATACAACTCAACCGACGGTCCGTATCACGTAAACCTAGTGTTATCTCTCCCCCCACCTCCTCCTCGGTAGAGGATCGTTAATCAATTACCTGTACCGCCTAAATCAGGACGTGGCAACGGCCAGCCACGTCAGCGAGCACCGACGCGTATCGATCCACCGCTCGTTCGCAAATCTGTTTATGATCGCGGAGATTCGAGGAAATTAAGATTGCGGCGTCGAACACAAAGAGATTAAACCTGTGAAGGATTTCCTGTGGCCCCTTTACGTTTCTGTGATTTAGCGCTGTGGTCAGCGGTGGCGGCGGCGGCGAGGCACGCCGTGCCATCATCAGTAGCGGTTGTAGGGGTGCTCCCGGTAGGCCCCCTTAGGTGTCCGCACAGCCGGGGCCTTCATGTGGTTGCCCGTCTCGCTCCAGTCTTCCTCGTCTTTGAACAGAGACACGGGCACGCCATCGCAATCACGATGCGTGCATTCTCAGCAGCGTCGAAATGTCGCTCGCGTCGCGGAAGTGCCGCGTGGAACGGCGACCCGTCGGGTTGCCGCAGAGATCCACGGACGCGCACAGAGAACCCGTAGACTTACACAGAGGTCCATAGCAGCACGTTGAGAGGTACATGCTCAAACAGAGATTAATTGACTCACATAGAGTCCCATAGACTTATACAAAGATGTCTATATATACACACATAGACATCTATAGCTTTATCAGAAATCCATAGACTTCCAGAGAGACCCAGAGACTCGCATAGCGATTCAGTGACAGAGACCCACATCATCAGAGAGAATACAATACTCACAATGATGCCCGTAGACTCACGTACAATACACAGTACAATTTGAATTTATATACCGTCTTAGTTGGATCGCAACTCAAGACGCGGTGCAAAAACAGTGGGCACATTTATTTCACGGAGAGAGAGGCAGTCAGTCAGAGGCCTGAATTTGAACTGGTGGCAGGGAGTCGTTAGCACGAACGGCCGAAGGGTTCCATCGCGGATTGTGTCAGTTCCTCTACTCGTGGCCTCACGTACTCTCGCCGAGTCAGGCTTCCAGGGGTGAATGGGTTTGAGTTTCACCACGTAGGCCGTGTTGGAGCACGGAACAGGGGGGGCTCAATTGAGCTGCACTGGGTACAAAATTCATGCCAGACTCGGCAAACGGCTGTCTGCAAAACGCTCAGTAAATATGGAACGTTGGGTCGTCACGTTGAACCAACTTTGGGCCAACAATGTCCACCACATGCCAACGTTGAGGCGACGTTGCACAATTACTGGCCGTGTAAAAAAAAAAACTCAACATTCGTGGGTCGTGGACCTGGACCGAGATAAATTGTCCCGTAAAAAAATAAAATCTGCGTGCTCAAACTGAACGCATTACGCCCCGTTGCGGCCTCTTCTTGACGATTACCGTGGGGCCCCTCGTACCACCCCCAGCCACCTGCGCGAGAGCCGACAGCAGCTACCCCAGGGTGGGGACACGTGGCGTGAGCTCGTCGCGGACGTACCGTACGTGTGGTAGGCCTCCTCCCTGGTGCACGTCTCGTACTCGTAGTAGTCCAGGGTGCTGCGAGAGAGCACAAGCGGTTTCACTATTGGAACTGCTTCATGGTTCTTTCGGTAAAGTCACGTAGAATGGAAATAATAAAATAATAAAAATAAAACATAATAAAATAATTCTCACGACGTTTCGGCCACAACGCAAGCAGCCGTCCTCAGGTGAAGACCAGGTCTGTCGAGAAGACAGAGTCTTCCCGACAGACTCTTCCCGACAGACCTGGTCTTCACCTGAGGACGGCTGCTTGCGTTGACCAGGTCTGTCGGGAAGAGTCTGTCGGGAAGACTCTGTCTTCTCGACAGACCTGGTCTTCACCTGAGGACGGCTGCTTGCGTTGTGGCCGAAACGTCGTGAGAATTATTTTATTATGTTTTATTTTTATTATTTTATTATTTCCATTCTATGTGACTTTACCGAAAGAACTAAGAAGATGAATCCCTGCAGTCACCAAAGCTTTAAATCGAAATTGGAACTGCTTTTTGCGTCTAGTTTGTTGCCCTTACCCCGCACCTGCCGATTGCCACGGTTGGCTATGTACGGTGCGAAAGAAGTTCAACATACGGTACGTTAACAGGCAACGCACGTTCCTCTTGCTGTCTCAACCTTGCCGATCTCGTCAAGGAACGTAAACCATCACGCCAACTCCGGCCATCCTCGCAGCAGCAGCAGCAGCAGAAGCGGCGGCTTTTGGATAACCGTCGAACAAAGACGGTCACCGCATCGCACGCTTTCAGATGCGCTTCTGCGGTCGTCTGGAACGCTCTTCCTTCCGATATTAGGGAGCTATGCACTTTGAAATCTAGATTAAAAACTCGTTTCTTGAGAACGAAATATCGTGGCTGGTTTGTTGTCCCTCTGCCGCACCCCCAATTAGCACGGTTGGCTACATAAAAAAGAAGTTCAACAAATTTTAAACATTTCTTTTTTATTTTACCAGGTAAGGCCCACTGAGCTGTACAGCTATTTTTCAGAAGCAACCTGGGCTGTCACAAATGACAGCTCACACGAAGTGGCTTGTCGCCATGCGGAGATTTATAGAGGCCAAATACTGTACTCGAAAGGCATGTTTCTAAATGTGGAGCGAAAAACCGGAGGATCCGGAGAAAAATCCACGCGGAATCAATGTAGGGCCATGCAGTTTGTCGGGGTCTCGAATGGGGTAAGGGGAGGGGGTGAGTTACCCTTATGTTTTAGTTTTATTATTTTATTATTTCCATTCTACGTGACTTTACCGAAAGAACGGAGCCCCACGGATTTCACCACTACCGGGAAGCAAATGCTTTAAGCACGAGGTGGCTAAGTCATGACCAGCGTGGGGAAGTATGATAAAAAAAACTGCTCATGACCAACACAAGGATGGGGGGGGGGGTTGGGCCTTCATCCAGCGTAGTGACAAACAGGACGACACAGGCAGGCAGTCGCCGCCCCACATCTCCACGGAGCGGTCTGTCAATGTAATCACTCGACCTGCGCTTGCAGTCGTATTGAAATCGTCGGTCAAGCGTAGCGGGAGAATTTGATCACCTGCAGCAGGCCGAACGCCATGAAACTCACCGAGAGGGCCTGGGGCCTACCCCCCACCCCCCACTAGCAGCAGCAGCAGCAGCAGGGGCTGCAACAACGCCGTGTCTCATGGGCACGCTCGCGTGGGTTGCTGGCACGGGCCCTGGAGTGAGCAATGAAATGTGAACGGGGGGGTCTCCCCCCCCCCCGCCCACACCCCACCTTCCCCCATGTCCAGATCTCACCACGCCAGTATTCGTAGCCTGGAGCATTGGCCGCCCAAACCCCACGCGGCCAATGAGACCTCGTGCAGTTGCACCGCCTGCTCGCTGCGCAAATGGCTCAATGGCAACACGTGCCAGCGGTTGTCCGCAGCTCAGCTCCGGTGCTCACCGCAGGGTGCGTGATTAAAGGCCGGGGATCTCGCACGCGCGGGGAGGGAGGGGACGGTGGAGGGGATGAGGAGAGGGGAGAGGAGCGGAGGGAGGGAGGTGAGAGAGGGGATGAGGAGAGGGAAGGGGAGGAGGGGTGGGGAGGGGAGGGATGCTTCTCTCGAGGGGGATTCTCTGCTACGTGACATTTTCCATTCCGTCCGTCGCGCCTCGCCTGCGCAAGCCGCATCCCAAACGCACCCCCCCCCCCGAGCGAGTCGCTGGCGAAGCGGAGGGGGGGGGACAAACCCCTTACCCCCCCACCCTCCCCCACGGGAGCTCACGGCGACACCGTGACACCGAAGGGGGGGGGGTGACCCGGGTCAAATGGTGACCGGGTGAAATTGTGCGTGAAAACACCGAGCGGGCGGCGGAGGAGGGCGAGGCGGAGGGATGATGCGCGCGAGAGCGGCGGTGGTGCTGCCCGATTTGGTGGGGGAGGGTGGCTCTTAGCGGTAGTTTCATTTTGGAGGCCTGCCCCCCCCCCCGTCCATTTCAGTTTGTAAAATTCTATTGAGATAGCAGAAGAGACGAGGATGACAGCTGCAGATTATGCACTGAGATGAGAGGAAAGGTGCAGGCAAGGTGTAGATACGAGAGAGATATTTAATTGGCTGTTTCGGTGGCGATTAGCTCATCGTAACTTCGGCGGGGGGTTTGACGATTTGTGCCTTGAGGTTGTCACGTGGGACGTTCAGTATGACGCCCGGCGTTTCGCGACACAAGCTTCTTCAGGAACTGAAACGTTGGAGAGCTCTGAGCTCGTTATGTTTGTCAGTAATTGACTGAGCTGATGAGTGACACACCCCAATTAAGGGCCCCCCCTACGCTCGATTTGCTCGTGCCTACAGCCAGCCGCTCTACAGCCAGCCCATACAGCCACCTACAGCCGCCAGTGAGCAAGGGCTCTGGCTCACCCCGCACTACCGTGCTCCACTCCTCCTCCCCCAGCGCCCACCACCATCAATCTCTCGCTCGGCGCGCGACGCAGACGCACAGCGAGCGAGCGAGCGCACGCACCTCTGGCTCCCGCTTGCGTAGTCGCTCTCGTATCCGTCGAACGCCGAGTCCTCGTAGGAAGCTTCGTAGCCATCGCTGTATGCCTGGGGAGCAACGTGTGACGGTAACAGATAAAGGCGCAGCCCTGCAATCGCCTGCTCACGACACCCGCTGGCAGAAGAGGCGTCCACTCGAAGAAACTCTCGATAGTGTCCTCCAAGAGGCTATTTGACCTCTCTTCTACACGACCAGCTAAATGCGGCGCACCCAATCTGGTAGATAGAGCCCGGGAAAAATGAATGATTATCTACATTTGCAAGGTGCTTGTCGTGCTTCAAGGAGATGGAGTTTAACTGCCGACCTCTGGATGGCAAGTCCAGTGGCGCTACTGGGACAGCTTCGATGTCTCCAACAAAAACATCAAGCGATCAGTGAGGCCGCAGGCGTGACATTTTACGTTTGATCGTCATCCGTTCGGCCTGGTTCTGCATGCAGGTGAGATGAAAGGTTTTGATCATGAGTTGAGGTGATGCTTCATCCCAACATTAAAAGCCTTAATTCATCTATTACTCCACTGCCATTATAAATTTGAGCAGGGAAAAAAAACGTAATTAGCATATGCAAAGTAGACATTCTGATAAGCCACAAATTAATTAAAACGGCGAGTGGATTCGTGGTTTTTACTTTAAAAAGTGGAGCCTTTTGGTTCGCTGCCTTTCAGCCACCGCGCTGAAACAGACTGATTACACAGGACCCTAATTAACGGATGCAAATTTTTGCGAAGACAAAAATAATATAGATTATAAAACGACGCCCCGCGTGGCTCGAGCGAGAGGGAGGGAGGGAGGGGGAGAGGGGGAGCTGGGTGCGAATCCACGTGGTGCTAACACCGGCCCTGTCCCCGGCACAAACAGCAACTCCGGGAAAACTGCGCCGACGAAACAGCCACTCGGTAACGACGCCACCGAAATCCATCCGGCGACACGCGGCGACGTGCGTACGCATCCATTCCACGCACACAAATAAAGCCCTCCCCCCCACCCCCCCACCGGTGAAACTGTCAATGTTGTTACATTTTCTCCATCTCTTTCGAGTGACCATGGATGATGGCTGCCGTGCTGGACCGGTCAACGTCATGGTTAGTTGGCACAGAGAGGAAGCCTGCCACGGATATGAGTGAAAAAGAGCTTCACAGCTCATCGGATTTCTCGAGGATAAATAAAGATTCTGATTCTGGAGGGACGGATTCGCCTCGGGTGTGAGCGCTGCGTAGACACACCTCCTGCCATTTCCTGCTACTTTATGGTTGCACATAAACTAAACAATTTATTTTATTTTACCAGGTAAGGCCCACTGAGCTATTTAGCTCTTTTTCAGAAGCAACCTGCCCACAAATGATTGCTCAACCAAGTGGCTTATCACGTGGAAATTTAGAGCAGACAATTACTCTAAATGTTGATTTCTAAATGTGGAGGGAAAAACCGGAGGACCCGAAGAAAAATCCGCACGACCACGGGGAGAGCGTGCAAACTTCAAATATACAACGGGCATCAGGGTCGGGATCGAACCATGGGCCTCCTGTATACCAGGCGAAGTAGTTAACATCTCGATTTAAAGCTTTCGTGACTGCAGGAATTCATCTTCTTGGTTCTGTCGGTAAAGTCACGTAGAATGGAAATAGTAAAATAATAAAAAGAAAACATAATAAAATAATTCTCACGACGTTTCGGCCACAACGCAAGTAGCCGTCCTCAGGTGGAGAACAGGTCTGTCGAGAAGACAGAGACTCTGTCTTCTCGACAGACCTTATTATGTTTAATTTTTATTATTTTATCATTTCCAGTTTACGTGACTTTACCGAAAGAACCAAGAAGATAGTTAACATCTGCTAGCTACCGTTGGCCTACGGGTAGAGATTGCCCTTCTGACAACAGTGGCACGAGCGAGCGATTACAGGGCTGCGCCTTTATCTCCGTATGAAAGCCGCGCGGAATTACGACGGTGAACAAACATCCGAGGTGCAATCCCAAGGCTCCGGCCCTCGTTGAATGAGATTTTTTTTTTTTTTACGCGCGCGATCGCGTAAAATGCTGTCTAAATAGACAGATGGCACACGGGGGCCGTGAATTAACGTGCCTCAATTAAGCGATCGGTAATTACCTTGTGATAAGTGCTAAACGTAGGAATATTAAGCCCGCCATTGCGGGTTGCACGCGGCCCCCCACGAATGCCCACGTTTCATAGGCAAGGGGGGGCGGGGGGGGTCACATAACCAGCCGTCACATCTCAACCAGCGCGTCTGTAAGGTACACACGTGACCTTAATGTTTGACCCGGTAAGAGCCCATGCACACCAGGAGTGTCCTAATTGGCACGTGCTGGGTTTGTTGGTATGCCGGGTGGCCAAATCTTAAATTATTCAAAGCTGGTGCGTACACAAAGACAAAGTTAGCCCCACCCCATGCTGTAGGCTGAGCCGACCTAGGGGAGGCCCAGGACCGGTTCGGATAACCGTCACTGGTGTTGGCAGCCGTGAGTGGGAATCAATCCCGGGTAGCCGAGGATTCATAGCGCAGGGCATTAACCACTACACTACACACAAGACACACAACACACAGACACGCGATATATAAATATATATATACCATCTAACCGCTACACTACACACAAGACACACACACGCACACAAACTGACACAGCCACTCGCACGCGACATCTATACCCACTAACCGCTACACTAACCACTACACTACACACAAGACACACACGCACACAAACTGACACAGCCACTCGCACGCGACATCTATACCCACTAACCGCTACACTAACCACTACACTACACACAAGACACACACACACACAAACTGACACAGACACTCGCACGCGACATCTATGCCCACTAACCTCTACACTAACCGCTACACTACACACAAGACACACACACACAAACTGACACAGACACTCGCACGCGATATCTATACCCACTAACCGCTACACTAACCGCTACACTACACACAAGACACACACACGCACGCGCGCGCGCTCTATACCCACAGAGCGGCCACCGCCCGGTCGACGTGAGCTCGCCACACGCTCGAAAGCGTCCGCTCATCCCAGACAGCGGAGGTGTCGCAAGGGCCCTCGTGCGTGGCCGGTAGGGCCGCAATTTTTGCGTAACCGCAGCCAGATGATTGCGTCCCATCCGACGAAAAAGTATATCTAAATTACACGTAATTTGGATATATATATGTTCGTCATTTCATTAGGTTTGCAATTTGTAATTGGGCTATTTAAATGGTGCACTATTAAGTGATCGGTCATTTGTACCCACATGATACGAGGCAGTGTTAATTGGCAACATGAAGCTCGTTATATTTTTACTCCAGTAATTTGTAATTTGAATGCATTTTTGCCCATCTCTGGTGCGACAATTCGGGGTTGCAGACTCAGAGACTCGGGGGCCCCTTGGCTCAGGGGTTTTGAGACTGACTTCGTATTCCACTTGGGCGGTCACTCACCTCCTTAAATCTGTTTCTAATCGCTACCGGCATTGTTACTGTTCCCATAAGCTTCACTCACAGATTCCACTCACTCACCCACTCACCACACCGCAGGTGATAATAACAATCTACTCACTCAACTACTCACTCACCACACCTCCGATTAGCATGGATGGCGATGGATGGTGCAAAAGAAGTTCAACATAAAACGTACTCAGATTTTAAATGTTGTGAATTTGCTCTCGAACACATCGATGTGCTGTACGAGTAACGAATTGGCACGTTCTGTTTACGTGACAAACCTTACTACAGTAGTTGGCTGTGTTGGGTGGTGGCGGGTTTAACGACACATTTTTATATTTATGCAATCTTACCCCCAAAAACGGTATTATAAAAACAACATACTGCAGGTCACTCACCACACTGCAGATCACAACAACAACTCACACACTCGCCCACTGACTCCCTCACCACACTCTAGGTCGGAGTATTTTCTTTCTTCCATTACCCTGCTCAACAGGGGTTCTGCATAGGGGTCATGTACGTTGAACTTCCTTAAAACTGTGCTCGGAGGTGCATAGGGGTTAGGAGCTCGGAGTATAACTCACGCGTTCCGCGTAGTGGTCACAGATCGAAGTTACGTATTCTACGAAGGGGTCAGGGGTCAAACTCACGTATTCCGCGTAGGGGTCCGGCACGTGCGCTGCTGCGGCAGCTCTGGGCGGTAGCGGCGGAGGTGGAGGCACGCGGGGCGCGGGGCGGCCGTGGTGGGGAGGCCGGCCAATGCCAGGGCGAACGAGCGGCACTGCCCCCCTCCCAGGTAGCGTCGCCCCCCTGGGCACCAGGGCAGCCCGCAGGCGAGGGGCACTGCCGAGACCCCTGGGGGTGGGGCAGGGGACGGTGACAAGGGTGGTTCGTTTTCGTCTTGTTTATTTTTACACCGCCGTTGCTGAGCGCAAGCCCGAAGGCCCGGAACGGCACGCGGCCAGCAAACAAACAGCGCTGGTGACGCAGCTCAGAGTGAGCGGCAACAGCGTCAAGGGAGCGAGTGACCGGTCGCAGATCAACCGTCAAAGCGTCTCCTCTGTAGAAACAAGGATAAGGATTTCAGCAAGTGCTTAAAATCCATTGCATCTGAAAGTACCTTACAAAATACGAACGAGGTGTACAGCGCGGTATTGTTACGATGAACATTATAACCAGCTGCTCAACTCTCGTCGAGGCTCGTCGACTCGGATTCCCACGTCGGCAAGTTCACCGATGACATTTACTCCTGCAGGCGAAAACTGACAGCCGCCCGGGACACTCCGAGGCCCTTGCAACGGGGCTTAGAGCTACACACCCGGTCCACCGATCAAGTTGCCGTGGGGACGCGGCGGCAGCGAGCGACGGCGACACGCGCTGGCGGCAGGGACGCGGGGGGAGGACCGAAGGAGAGGCCGACCGACCTGGCGGCGGGCGGGAGGGCGGGTGGCACCGGGTGGACGCAGCCCCCCTTGGGTGCGGCCCCCCCCCGAGCCCTCGGCGGCGTGGCCGGAGATTCGGCCGAGCCGTTGAGGAACGTCAGCTCCCGCAGCTGCTCCAAGCGGATCTCGTCGTTGTAGTCCTGTGCGCGCGGGAATGACAAATCGGGGGGGGGGGGGGGGGGGTGGCGAGGAGGCCACGGCGTCAGACGGCCATTTACGATGAGCAAAGGTGGTTGCCACGCTGGTGCGTTCGCAGCGCGCAGAGAATCGTCGTCTATCAAGCGTCGAGGGTTAGCACCACCCCCCCCCACGCCAGTCTCCCCTTAGAATGTTGGTTACCTGTTTCCCACCTCCTCTTCCCCCCCCCCCCCCCCCAATATATACAGGGGGTGCTTCAAAAAGAATGTGAACACTTCCGATAATTTGCAACAATACCACGAGACGTGTGCCTCCGAGCTCTGGAGAAGAGTCCAGCCAATGGCTTGACAATGGTGGCGAACAAGTGGAGACTCTGACTTTTTGAAGCTATTAACATCACTTTTGTGTCCACGTTACAGCGTATTATCCGTTCGTTTTCCATTAAAAACGAGAGTCCCATGTAAGTGTTAACATCTTTTTGAAGCAGCCAGTATATAAGCTCTCGCTACACCCCAGCCCGACAGAAGATCCCAACATGTTGTGGCATCGAGCCTTCCAAACTCCATCTCCGTATGGTTCTGAAGCGCCGAACGTCCTGCCCCCCTCCCCGACCCCCCGATGCTTCTGTCCCCCTCCCCATAAACCACGTGGTATCCGGGCTGCGCGCTTGCCAGAATAAAAAGTAAAAAAAAGAGTCGAGGCTGAGGTCACTTATTCCCCTTGTTCCAGCGGCGGTCAAGCCAGCCGACAGCGTCAGGAGCAGTAGCGGAGTGGATCGCCGCGATGTCTGCTTCGTGTTTGTGGATCGGGGCATTTGCGTCGTTATAGAAGTTGCACGGTCTGTCCTGGATGACCCACAGTCGCTCACCACTACAGAGTTTTTAATGTTCCATTTGTGCATCAGGTATGCGGCATCGACTGCCATGGTTTGTGCAGTGGATGTGGTTTAGGGTGGACCGTGAGCTTCGTGGAAGATCAAACCCAGGGAGCTTCTGCGTTGGGTCTTCCACGAGGAGTTCTTTTGCGAGTTCTTTTGAACCCCATTCAGCTCCATTCAGTTCTCGGCGTGATGTTAAATCAATGAATCGATGCATTGCTTCACCCGTTGGTGTGCGCGGCCTTCCGCGCGTCGGCAGCAGCCGTCTCTAAGCTCGGCTAACAAGGCAGCGTCGACGTGAACAATCGCATCCAGGCACCCCAGGGCAGGGGGGGCGGGGAAGCTTAAGCAGTTTTCTTAGCATTGATCTCAAGGGTCTTTTCAATGTAATTGTGCAACAGGCTTAAGTAATTACATTAAACGAGGCCATTGTGTTTTACGTGTACGCAACGAACGGTGCTGCTGCTCCTGCTGCTGTCAATGTGGCCGTCTCGAGGCCTCTCCGGCCGGATGGCAGATCGATGGATCGGTCGACACCACGATGGTGATGATTGTGATGATGGCGGCGATGATGAAGACGCTGCACTGCGCCATTTTATCATTTTTTTGCTCTTTGCTGAAATACATTTTTGACGGCGATTCTCAGACAACAGGGACACGGCGCAGTTCTTCAGGACCTGCTGGTGGTTCTTTGCATAATGCACAGAGGGCTGTTTGCGTTTTACACCATAACGTGTGTTGTTTCCGACCTGCACTAAGATTCTGCTGCAATTAAACTTTTGTCGTCATGAACACATCTGATTTTCTGCCCAGGACTGCTTTGTCATTCCTTAACTACAGCTGACTCAACGTAAGCACCCGACTCAAGTGTTTCTCATCATTACAACCTATAACGCTTAGAACACACACGTACAGAGACACACTTCCTGAATATTATGACATCATATAATCAGCGCTCCGTCGATTGCCCCAAGGAAACCTTTTTTTACAAAGCACCCATTTAAAATGCGTAATAGCTTTTATGTTTACAGCTTTAATTATTGTCGTGAACGTAATTCTTAATAAGTAAATATAAATAAATAAACGGATTCGATTAGCCACACAAGCGGCAGAGGAAAGGCTTCTCTACCTTCAGCCACATACAAACCATCAATCAGAGTCCAGAGAGAGAGAGAGAGACGAGAGACGAGCGAATATCAATTACCATTATGATGCTTCGCTTTGTCTGGATTAACGAAGGCCCCTGTAATTAGTATTGAGATTGCTCACGATCTCTCCTCCTGGCCTCAAGCGGCACACACCGTCGCTTGGCGTTCAACGGCGCTGTATTTATTTATTTATCTATTTATTCGACTGAGATATGTGGCTCTTTTTTGGGCAGCGACCTGGCCACGAATGACAGCTCAACGAAGTGGCTTATCACGTGCGAAATTTATAGCAGCCAAATACTCGTGATGTTGATCCTTAAACGTGGAGGGAAAACCCGGAGGAGCCGGAGAAAAATCTACGCGACCACCGCGGGAGACACGTGCAAACTCCAAATATACAGCAGGCGTCAGGGTCGGGTTCGAATCCACGACCTCTTGCATACCAGACAAAGGCGTTAACATCTCGCAACAGCGAGATGGGCCGCATCTCACTGCTGCCCGAGCCACAAGGTTCCGATCACACAAAGATCACCCGTGTAGGCTTTAACAGACCATTGGGGCAGAGTGCTGTAGCGAGCGCCAGTGAAGGCCAGCAAGGCAAATGAATGGGATATTTTGGCCAACACCACACCCGGGCGCCTTTGTCTCCCGAGTGGCGATGTTTACAAATTGCACCCGGTACTTATTTGAGGCTGAGTCGACCTAGGAGAGGCCCAGGACCGGTTCAGATAATAGTCGCCGGTGTCGGTAGCCGAACTCGGGTGGCCCCGTTGGTTGCTACCGCTCCCCACACACGCACTCACACACGCGCACACACGCACTCACACACGCGCAGACACACACGGGCAGATACACGCGCACTCGCACACGCGCACACACGCGCAGACATACACACACGTGCAGACACACACACACGCACTCACACACGCACTCACACACGCGCACACACGCGCGCAACACACGCGCACACACGCGCACACACACACACGTGCACACACGCGCAGACACACACACACGTGCACACACGCGCAGACACACACACA